AGCATAAACAAGGTGGATTATTTAATAAATTACCCCTATTCCTTAATGTCTGTTGAGGAAAAACTCGAGATGAAGAGGTTGGAGCCGGACAGATATGAGGATATTCAAATCCAGCAAAGAGAAAACCGTGCTGTGTAACCTTGCTGACCTTGGCTGGATATTAATTCAGCTTGTTCCAAATAATATCAACCTGTCAGTTCGTTTTTATTTTTCTTATAATTTACTCTGCGTTGTGTTTAATGATGACCAGAAGACGAGCGTTGAACTGAATGCTGTTTAATCTGCATAAAAACGTGCACTGGTAAGAATCATCGCAGCGGCACCTCGTGCCGTCTTCTCATTGAATGGACCTGCTGTACTATACACCTGTAACAAATAACAAGTAACAAATCAGATTGTAGTGTAAAGCGCTTTGAGTGTCTTGAAATGAGATAGAAAGGCGCTATATACGTACAGTCCATTTACCATTTACAAATCCCTGTCTAAACGGAGCTTATACACGCACAAGAGAGTTCTTTAAATTATTTTTCAAAGGTTAGAAATATGATAAATTTGTAAACAACAGTAAAATAAAACTCGCTCGGACATGTCAGCTCAGAAGTGCAGGTGGGTGGGGCACGATGTATATATTAAACAAAAATCAGCTGTTCCGACCGAAACCAAAATAATCTACCACTCACACACTCCTTCATGAAAATTAATACCAAACTATTTAAATATGGCCTTATTTAAAAACGTTGTGTCTTGTGTTTCATTATATCAGTGTGATTGTGTCAAAGAGTGTTGAAACCCTTAATGCAGGGGAATTAAGTTGGACAACTGACAGAGGCTCTACTTGGTCTTTGGTTGTTTGTTTTATGGTTGTCTTTGAAGTGAAAAATGACAATGTCAATTTATAGCAGTTTTTTTTCTTTTTAAATTGAATGCTTCTGTTGTTTTAATTCATTCTGTAGCATATATATATATATACATATACATACACATATATATATATATATACACCCCCCCCCCCCACACACACACACACACGGTGGAAAGTCCATGAGCCACCACTGCTGGACTCTCTTTTTCACCTCTTTTCCACACTCCCCATTTTCCTGGACAGTGGACCCCAAGTACTTGAAGTCCTGCACCTTTATGACCTCTGCTCCTTGTAGCCTCACTGTTCCACCGGCCTCCCTCTCATTCACACACATGTACTCTGTCTTACTATTGCTGACTTTCATTCCTCTTTTTGCAAGTGCATACCTCCACCTCTCCAAGTTCTCTTCCACCTGTTCCCTGTTCTCATCATAGACCACAATGTCATCTGCAAACATCATAGTCCATGGGGATTCCTGCCTGACCTCATCTGTTAGTCGGTCCATCACAAGAGCAAACAAGAAGGGGCTCAGAGCCGATCCTTGATGAAATCCCACCTCCATCTTAAAGCTATCCATCACTCCTACAGCAACACTCACCACTGTCCTGCTGTCCTCATACATGTCCTGTCTCCATTCCACAGGCATTTTCTCACCCTCGAATATACCATTGATTATCCTGATGCATGCTCAATAATCCAGGTAGAAAAATCCAAAAAAGTTCAATCTGGTCCTCTGGACATTCAAAAAAACAAAACAACGCAAAAAAATATAGAAATGTTTTGTCTCTCATCCGAGAGACTTCCTCAGTCTGAGGAGCTATATTCAGCTCAGTCTCTTAAACAGCACCTTCTCAGAGTGGATCAACCAGTTTGCTGCTGACAACCAAAACCAGCTGCTCACATGGTCAAGAAGGACCATCAGCCAGCCTTCCCCATCTTCATTCTTTTCAGAACTTTCCGGACTTCATGCTCACTAATCTCTCCCACTTCCTGGTCCAGAGTTTCTATGACCTCAGTTCTTCTTTTCATTTTTTTTTTCAATCATTCACTCCTCACAATACTCCTTCCATGTTCCTGTCACATTCTGCTCTCTTGTTAGAACATTACCATTCATATCTTTCACAAGCCTAACCTGCTGCACATACTTTCCAGCCTGATCCCTCTGTCTCACCAATATGCACAAGTCCTTCTCACCCTCTTTAGTGTCCAGCCTCCCATACAGCTCTTTATACATCGTCTGCTTTGCCTTAGCTACCTCCATATTTGCTCAAACTCACAATACTATTACTGTCTAAATCCCATCATATATTTCTTAAATATTCTGTTTTTAGAAAAGAACATAATACTCCCAAGTTTTTTTTTAACAGCAAAACTGGATGCGGGAAAAAAAAATCTTATTTTTGTTACTTATTGTAATGGTCAGCGGCCCCCTCTGAGCCTCGAGGACTCATTTACAAGAGAGACCTGATTTCAACAAAGAATGATGATAACAATGGACAACAGCGACAACAATAGACTGTTATAAAAAGGCATACAGATGTTTTTAATAAAAAAAATAATAATAACAAAAAGGATGGATACAAAAAGAAAAGTAACAAAAAACAGCTAGAATAGCTTTACTGAACATTACTTTGCTGAACATTACTATAACATTTTTGACATTTAAATACCAAAACCACCTTATCATGAGCAGAATGAAGTGTTCCCACATGTTAGAACGATCTCTTTTCCTGGCTGCCTCTATAATTACTCAGTTTCAACCAACAGCAAAAAACACACCTACTCTCCAGCACATTGAAACGGCTCTAAAATGTTTCATAGTGTTGAGCTCTCAATTCAAAACTGTCTCAACCTGTCACCTGTCAGAATCGAGACGAGGCGGTGCCAGGGAATCAGCTGTTTGGACCGCGAACCAGTCAAACGATTCATTCCGACAACGAAACAGTTTGTGTTTCGGACGTCACGTGTCACGTGACTTTTTCCGCACCAAAACAAGCTCCAAAGCAGTGGTTCGATGTAATTTTACTGCAGGGTTCGAAGCATGTTTTGAAGCTTTTGTTTCATACTACCATCACTAGCCTGAACCTCAAGCCTTGTGTTTTGGACTATGAACTCACGCCTGCCTCTTGGATTTATCTCTCTGCCTTCCGCTTGTCTGGTTTTGCTCTGCCCTTCTGACCCTGGTACGACAACTTTTTCTGGCCCTTTGACTCTGACTATTTGACTCTTTTATTGTACCCATCCAGGCTGTCACATTGTAAAGTTTGCAGACGATACAGCGGTGGTGGGATGCATCACAAACAATGATGAGTCCAGCTACAGGCAAGAGGTGGAACACCTGGAGAGCTGGTGCAAAGAGAATAACCTTCACATCAATGTGAAGAAGACAAATGAGATGATTGTGGACTTCAGAAGGAACAAACACACCTACATATGAGGATCTGCGGTGGAAGTGGTCTTCAGCTACAAGTACTTGGGTGTACACATGAATGACAACCTCAGCTGGAGCAACAACACCACCAGCCTGATCAAGAAAGACTCTACTTCCTCAGACGACTGAGGCGAGCTGGTCTGGGAAGCTCAGTCCTCACCTCCTTCTACAGGTGTGCAGTGGAGAGCATCCTGTGCTCCAGCATCAACATGTGGCATTGAGGCTGCACAGCTGCAGAAAGAAAAGCTTTGCAGAGAGTGGTGAAGGTTGCACAGAAGTCTGTCAGAGTCAGCCTCCCCACCATCACAGACATCTACACCTCTAGATGCAGGAAGAGGGCCACCTGCATCATGAAAGACCTCACTCACCCAGCACACACACTTTTTTCCCCACTCCCCTCAGGAAGGAGGTTGGGGAGCATTAAGTGTAGAACCACTAGACTGAGGAACAGCTTCTACCCTGAGGCTGTTAGACTCATGAATCTCTAACTAGAATAATCGCTGTGAAAAATCACATCATGTTGCTGCTGATCTGTTTCATGTTGCTGCTGATCTGTTTCAATGTTGATGTGTTCATGCGTGCACATCCGCTCACACAGACTCATGTTCATGTTTGTGCTGATGTTCAATGTTTTATGTTATGAGTGCTTAGTGTATATTTAGTTGATGTTTTTCTTAGTTCATATCTTAGATGTTATTACTGTTTTTCTTATACATTTTATTGTTGGATGTAACTGGGACCCTGTGTACATAATTTCGCTCCACCACATGTACCACATGAGGTGCGAATGACAATAAAGAAACTCTGACTCTGACTTTCTCTGGATTTTGGATTAGCCCTTGCATCTGTTTAAAGAACTCTGACTCCCCATGCTTGGCCCCTGCCTTTCCTTCTGGATCCTCTCCCTGGCTGCAGCTGCAGTTATAAATAAAACTGTTTTCATTTTTTACTCTTGTGTCTTGTCATTCTGAATCCAAAAGCCTGGTTTCGTGTCACTTATAATCTTTTTTTTTTTTTTTTGTCTAGGACCCACTTCCTAGCATGTTTTTTCTCTTACACTGCTTGAACACAACTAGTTGAAATAAAAGAGTCATCAATAAGCTTGATAACAAATTAATGAGGTGATTCAATCATTTGAATGGGGTCTTGTGAACGCAGGCAAATACCTAAAACATGTTGAACACTGTCTCGAGGGAGAAGACATAAAACACTGCCTAAAAACAAATAAATTACAGCCTGTTTAAAAACACAGTTTTCCTCCTAACCTAATTTTTACACATTAACCTATCTCTAGGCCACCATATAATTTCCTACTTGCTGAGATTGGAATGATATTGTGGAGAGTATTTAGTTGCCTGACACTAAATATCTCTTCTCGCATGACTTTTAATTCAATTCGAGCTAAAACCAAACATGAATTTACTTTGAGTGAGCACTTGAAAGCACTTTTCTTTATGCTCAGTTATTGTGAGTCTCTATGATACCATCTTAACAAGAACCATCAAAATCAATGAAATAATATTTTTAAAATATATTTTGTCAATATTTGGCACAAATCTTTAGAGACAAATTTCCATTACTGCTGAAAACAAACAAGATATGTTTTGACAGTTAACAGGTTGGATAATACAAGATAATAAAATGTGGGGGCAGGGCAAGAAGGTACATCACTTTTTTGACTTGTTGATATAAAAGGTCAATGCTTACCAGTGATGAGGAGCCTCCCAGTTGTGCTTGCTGTTCCAAACTGATTCTTAGCAATGCACATGTAGCTACCTGCATCTCGTTTGGTTACGTTGGTAATCATCAAAGTTCCATTAGGAAACAATGTAATCCTGTGAAAGCAACAAAACACATTTATTGTACTGAATGTAGTAGCGCAGGAATCCCAGACTATTTTTACACCACAGACCAGTTTTGTTCAATTCAATTTCAACTCAATTCAGTTTATTTATATAGCACCAAGTCACAACAGAAGTTATGTCAGGGCACTGAACAGAAACATTCACATACATTATAAATGCCAATTAGTAAAGTTACCTATCTAAGGAAGGAAGGAAGCATGCAAGACAATTTATTTTAGGGATGCATGATATTAGATTTTTGGCCAATATCCGATATGTTAAAATTTAATTGGCTGAAAATCGATACCAATACTGATTTTTTTCCCCCCTACACCTACTTACAGAGACTATAGCTTTCTCTGCTATGGAATTAAAATACTACATTATTCTGCATGGTCTTTGTCAGTTTGGCCTGATACCAAATAAAGATGCCAAAAAGGGGATGAAAATGATGCAACACTTCAACTTGGATTATGTTTAATGTCAAATTTATTCATGATATTTACTCTCTCTAACACAATGACAACACTTAAACAGTATGTACTGTATAAACAGCACCTTTTTATATTGGTGAGTTATTTTGATGGAATGCCGATATCCGATATTTAACTTTATTGCCAATATCGGCTGATACCGATACCATGCCAATAATATTGTGCATCCCTAATTATTATATAATATATAGTATTCCCTCGCTACTTTGCGGTTCGGCTTTCCTGGACTCACTCTTTTGCGGTTTTTCAGTGATTGTCAACTTTAATATTACTCACGTGATTGGGACAGTACAGGATAACAAGTTAACAAAAATAAATAAATACTTCAGACAGGGCATCACAATTTTGTAGTTTTCTTTCAATAAGCCTATACTGTGATGCCAGCCAAAAGAACTAAACTACCCAGAACCCAACAGTGCTTCTGGCCACTGCTTTCTGCCAAAATGGAGGGATAGTTTAGCAACGCAAAATCAGAAGTAACGATCGATCTATTAATCTCACAGAACTGTCAGGAAAGTCACAAATAATCCTTAAGCTGCCTGAAGCTCAATTATCCATGCACACATTAACCTGGATGAGGTGGTGGGCTTCGTCACTACAGGGTAGGTCGCCGAACCAGAACCAAGCCCGACTGGAACAGAGCTGCTGTTCTGCAGAGCTGGTGAGTAAAATTTTGCAATACAGTACTGTACATATGTTGTTAAAATTAGTAGTTTTAAGAGTTTAGAACATTGCAAGAGCGTGGGAAGGGTTTATAAAGCCTTTATATATATATATATATATATATATACTAAAATAAATATAGCGTTCCTACTTTATGGTTTTTCACCTATCACGGTGGTGTATGGAATGTAAACCCCATGATAAGCGATAGACTACTGTATTATAATAATTTATGCAAGACAATCTTTCCACATGGTGCGAGAATGAGGGGAGGTCACATGTATAACAAACAATTATATATTATTTAATTTTATATTTTAAATAAAATAAAATGTTTATTTTTTTTGTATTTATATTATTATTAATATATTATTTAATGAAATGCATAGTTTAATATAATATAAACTCCTTAACTATGCAGTTAGCCACCAAATATGATGCTGTTAGTTCAGACATGCTAATAAAGTTGCGGCCTTCAGTGATTGTTTCTGATCTTTATAGTCACCGTCTTTCCTTTCAACACCTCAAGGCTTTTATTAAAGGGTGCTTCGTTTCCATGTGGTGAAGCAATTTTGAAGGTTTCAGTGCTTCATTGGATAGCTGGCCCTTCATCTCGTACAGAGCGTGCTCAGAGCGCATGAATCACTTGTTGTGATGTAATAAATTAACTTTTTGCATTTTCTTTTAAATGCAGCTTTCATTTTGATGGCAGTTGGAGCCTTCTGCAGTCGCATCATTAGACTTTCCCCCTTTTTAAAGAATATCTGCAGCGATGTTTGATTTTTACTAATTATCACTAAAGTTACTGTAGTTGAGACCATGAAAAAGGCTGAAATGATATACTATGCAGACAAACACAAATAGAAAAAAAAAATCAAAATAAAACTTTTTATTCTTTCTATGCGGCCTGGTACTAAATGAGGCTCAGTACTGGTCCCTGGCCCAGTGGTTAGTGACACAATTACACAGAGTTTATTTGGTGAAATTGGCACTTTATGAGCTCTATCAATTTATGCTGATTTTAGAGCATTTACAATTTTAGTTTGTTTCATATTAATCTTTACTATTTTTTTTCTTTATTGTGTTTATAGTCTAATTTATTTAATCTCTTTTCAAAATGAAAAATAAAAAACAAATTAAACAACAATTTGACCCTGATTATACTTCATTGCTCTGAAATAAATCTCGGGGAATAAAACTTTTATGGGTGAGTTAGCCCTTAAACTCTGGGACCCATAACAAAAAAAAAGAACACACTTCACTAACATCTTTGAAGACCTCACTAGCTATGTTTACATGCGCAACATTTTTTGACCGGATTGAAATGTTTTCATATTAAATAATTCAAATGTATTGTTTACATGGGCACAATCTGTTCATGGCAAGCATTTACATGCAGTGGACTTTGTTCTGAACAACAGTACTGACATGTGCAGAGTGATAAACGCGCCTTAAAAAAAACACAGAAGAAGAAGTTCTACTTCTGGTTTACTTCCAGGATGAACGTAAACAAACCTGAGCACCCAAAATGGACCCGCAACAGGTTTTAATGATGGTGGAGACGTTACTGCACTCCCTGACTCAGCTACAGGTAATACACATCATTTTGAGCTCTTTCAAAGTTTCTAGTAGAAATGTTGTGTCGCTCACTAACCAGTTTTGCTTCCCTGACATGCTAATATTACTAGCATTAGCCAGGCGGAAATGGTCGCACATGCGCAGTCAGGTCAGTTTTTCACCATCAGATAAAAACGAACAGATCAAGCGTTTACATGCGCTCCGTTGGGGTTATGAATTGGCGTAAACCACCCGTTTCGTTCTGATCACAAATTATTTCGGATCACGCTGAATACACAAAAAATAACCCGAACAGGATGTTTACATGACGTGTTTTTGTTCCGAACGTCCGTTTTATCCGGTAACTTATGTCCATGTAAACATAGCTACTTGTCCGTGTACGTACACGGACCCTCACTAAGTAAAAAAATGCAATTTAAGTCTTTATGTTTCTGAAGTCCGTAAGAAACCAAAGTCATGCAAACTGAACATAAATGAACATAGTACCATAATTTCTGGACTATAATTTAAACTACTATCTAAACCTCTGTTAAGTTCTTGGGAAAAAGCAATGCAGATATGTTCCTGTTTTTAGTTTTCTACACCGCCTTGCAATCTAACTGTTTTTTTTTTTTTGTTGCTACTTTTCCTTATAATTATCCTTTTCATTACCATTTCAGTTTCACTTGTTAAAAAAATAAAAATTTGTACGCATCCTTTATGATTGTCTATTGTTGTTGTTGTTGTCTATTGTTGTCATCATTCTTTGTTAAAATCAGGTCTCTCTGTAAATGAGTCCCAGAGGCTCAATGGGATTAACATGTATAAATAAAGTTTGAATGAATAAAAAAAAATAAGCCTCTACTTTTTTCACATGCTTTTAACACCTGCAGCTTATACAATGCTGTGGCTAATTTATGGATTTATTTATTTATTTATTTATTGGATGAGGTAAGGAGATTCATGCCACCAAATAATTTAGCCTCATCACATCAGGGCGCTCACATAGCTGCCCAATACATGTCTCTTTTTGGGGGTGGGCCATAACTCAATGAGACTACCTGTTTAAATAATGGTTAAAAAAATCTGAGCAATGAAATTACTGAGAAGGTCACAATAGAACAATAAAACTTGGTTTCATTATATTTTGTATATACAAATGAAACTTGATTTCATTGGTCCACTGGGTCCCTGAAAGATTAGTACCCATTGTCTTCTCACCACCCCATTGTGCCCTCGGGGAGGGGGGCAAATTAAGTATTTGCAAGCACTCAAAATAAGTGTGAATTGTTAATTTAAAATGTCACTCTGAGCTCGGTCTGAGGCTTGGATGACTAGCGGCGAGATATTGATTATCAAAACTCGTCGCATGTGCTCAAGTGTGCGAGTGGATCCTGACAGTGGAGCAGCGTAAAACAATCCTCATCATCAATGAGTTTTGAAAGGCAGCTGTGTGATGACCCGTGGTTTATAGACAAGCGAGGCATATATATGTACAATACATTTTTTAAATTTAGTGAATGCAGGTTATATTCAGGTGCGCTCAATAATCTGGAAAGTACGGTGATACATGAAAAAAGTCATTCTAAAAAAATAAACAATAAAGATACATCAATGATTTAAGGGGTGAAAATGAAATATATATGTATAT